GGCGGAAGATGCTCCAGCCCCCTCCCCAGCCTTGTAGCCCTCCGCTGGACTCTCTCCAGTAGCTCTTCATCCTTCTTGAACTGGGGAGCCCAGAACTGGACACAGTACTCCAGATGAGGCCTCACCAGGGCAGTGTAGAGGGGAAGGAGAACCTCCCTTGTCCTGCTGGCCACACTCTTCTTGATGCACCCCAGGATCCCATTGGCCTTCTTGGCCGCCAGGGCACACTGCTGGCTCATGGTTAACCTGTCGTCCACCAGGACACCCAGGTCCCTCTCCGCAGAGCTGCTCTCCAGCAGGTCCACCCCAAGCCTGTACTGGTGCATGAGGTTGTTCCTCCCCAGGTGCAGGACCCTGCACTTGCCCTTGTTGAACCTCATCAGGTTCCTCTCTGCCCAGCTCTCCAGCCTATCCAGGTCACGCTGAATGGCAGCACAGCCTTCTGGTGTATCTACCACAAATAATCAAAAGACAGAGATCACAATTTAACAGGCCAGTATTTTATTGCTCTCCAGAAATTTCCGTATCACGCATACCAGTGATAGGCTCTTCTAGATACCCGATACATTCATTAATTTGTGAAGTCTGTTCAAGTTTAAGAATCTTTTACTTTTTCTCAGTTGAGATGTATTTGATAATATAGTCCTAGGATTATCACCTCAGTATTTTGCATTTTCCCCTCCCTTTTGACATCCAAGTCCTCATAGAGTTTAAAGTAAATTTTTACACAAAAAAAAGCTTCAAGGAATCTGTACTATTCCTACAGGGCACAAACAGTGTTCCTAAAAACCATTCATTCACATTAGGGTGTATTTCATAAATGGTTGCATATGTAAAGGGACTTACGAACCAACACCATATGACCACACATTAATCAACAGACAGCACATTAAATAAATGAAGCAATCTGCACTTTAACAGATGGTAAGTTCTAGCAGTTGCTATTTTATAGGTGCAAAGGATAAGGAAAGTATAACAAAAATGTTCAAACAGCAGTTGTTACTTCATAAGAAAATACCACAGGATGCAAATCTGCAAGAATTTTTTCTTAAAATCTCAATTTACATACAGTCTAGTCATCAAATATAATCTTTTTCCCTTGGAATGCTGTAATTTGAGACATTTGTTCCCGGCGTCTCTTGCTTGCTTCCCATGACGGATGAAGAGGCTGCTCCAAACGTGCTTTCTTATTGTCACATTTAATACCTGCAACTTCTGCAAATGGCTGCTTCTTGAGCCGTGGTTCCTTTTTAAGAAAAGCTGTGCAAGAAGTACAAAATAAAATATTAACTACATCATGAACCTTCACAAAAATATACTAAAACTACCTTGATATTGCAGACGTTTTAAAGAATTTCTTAACAAGCCACAGGGAAAACATTAATCTTCAGATGTTCACAACAAGATTTCCTCATCTTGCAGCCCAGTAAATTGTCACTTGGTAGACTGCAGATAGTTAAGATTTATCATTATTGACCACATTCAAAATTTGTGTAGACAAATATATAGGACAGTCTCAACTTTTCTCACAATAAAGCAATGAGATACTATACAATGTAATTCAGTATGACTGAAATAATATCCTTGATCCAATGAACTCCAAAATCTAATAATGTAGTATAAATTGAATAAAATACTGAAGGAGCTATTGAAGGTATTACATGATAAATTACTTGTTAAATATCATAATCTGATACCTTTACCAGTGCACAGGTAACACTAACTGCTCAACATGAAGACAGATGGAAAAGCACTTTCCTGTGTAAACCCTACTTTAAGTATATCTAACATTCAAAAATCGAAAATAGCAAACCGTATCCAGAGATTAAAATGAAAGCTCAATAATTTGACTATTTTAACAACAAGTGTTAAAACTGAAATGAAACAAAAAACAGCCTATCACAATTAGACTGCAGAGCCAACAAGACCTCATGATGTTTTTACTCTTGTAACTTTACCAGGTTAAGTAATACATACCCGTTCTTTCATTTTTCAGAGGCTGGTTGTCAATATTTCTAAAAATAAAAAGAGAATTTAGAATTTTTCAAGAAACTTGTATGATGACAAACACCTGTGAATCAAGAATCGTCATCACCAAAACTCTCACGCAACGACTTTTCAAGCATAATGGGGACAGGGTGCTAGCGAGGGCCCTTAGCCTGGTGTCCTGAGATATGCTGGCTACATTGCAGCACACTTGAAGTCTTACAGAGATAAGCCAGATGCTCCTGAGGTAACAGAGGCCAACAGGGAAACACCAGTGAAATACCTTAAATGAATTAAGGAGTTTTTCTCTAAGAAGGTGACCCAGCCAACAGAAAGAAGAGCCTCTACCGCAATGCACACCAACAGGGGCGAAAAACAGGAGTTGGAAGCCACTGTGCTGCTAGAAAGCTATGACCTAGCTGGCATTACTGAAACTTGGTGGGACAAATCCCATGACTGCAGTGTGGCTATCGATGGCTACAGACTGTTCAGAAGGGACAGGCAAGGAAGGGGAGGTGGAGGCGTAGCCCTCTATGTCAAGAAATTGATACAGTGTGAAGAGCTGTCCCTGAAGAACGCCCACGAGCAGGTTGAATCAAGAAGAGTGTGGCCAGCAGGACGAGGGAGGTTCTCCTTCCCCTCTACACTGCCCTGGTGAGGCCTCACCTGGAGTACTGTGTCCAGTTCTGGGCTCCCCAGTTCAAGAAAGATGAAGAGCTACTGGAGAGAGTCCAGCGGAGGGCTACGAGGATGGTGAGGGGACTGGAGCATCTCCCCTACGAGGAGAGGTTGAGGGAACTGGGCTTGTTCAGCCTGAAGAAGAGAAGGCTGCGAGGGGACCTTATAAATGCCTACAAATATCTGAAGGGTGGGTGTCAGGAGGATGAGGCCAAGCTCTTTTCAGTGGTGCCCAGTGACAGGACAAGGGGCAATGGGCACAAACTGAAGCACAGGAAGTTCCGTCTGAACATGAGGAAGAACTTCTTCCCTCTGAGGGTGACGGAGCACTGGAACAGGCTGCCCAGGGAGGTTGTGGAGTCTCCTTCTCTGGAGATATTCAAGACCCACCTGGACAAGGTCCTCTTTTTAGAGACCGAGGCAACAAAGGGAACCTTGTGGTTGGTGTGCGCTACAGGCCTCCTGATCAAGGGGAGCCTATTGACGAAGACTTCTTCCTCCAGCCAGGGGAGGCATTGCACTCACAAGCTCTTGTCCTGCCAAGGAACTTCAACCACCCCAACATCTGCTGGAAAAGTGGCACAGCAAGCTGTAGGCAATTCAGGAGACGGAGTGTATAGCAAATAACTTCTTAGGCCAGGTAACAGCCCTGCCAGAGGGGATGGGATACTGGACCTGATGGTCACCAATGCAAGTGAACTACTCAGTGATTTCAAGACTGGAGGCAGCCTGGGCTGTGGTGATCATGCACTGGTGGAGTTCACAGTCCTGAGGCATAAGGGTCAGGCGAAGAGTGAAGTCAAGACCCTGAATTTTAGGAAAACAAACTTCCAGCCCTTCAAGGACTTGGTCAATAGGACCCCCTGCGAAACAGTCCTCAGGACAAGAGAGCAGAACAGAGCTGGCAGATGGTTAAGGATGCTTTCCATAGAGCACAAGAGCTCTCAGTCCCCATGTGTAAGTAATCAGGAAAGGAAGGCAAAGAGACTAACATGGCTGAGTCGAGACCTGCTGGCCAAACTAAAGAGCAAGAGGGAACTTCACAGGCAGTGGAAGCAGGGACAGGTATCTTGGGAAAAGTACAGGGACGCTGCCCAGTTATGTAGGGAGGGCGTCAGGGAGGCCAAGGCACGGCTGGAGCTGAACTTGTCAAGGGATGCAAACAATAGTAAGCAGGGCTTTACAGGTATGTCAGCCAGAAAACGAAGGTCACAGAAAGTGTACACCATCCTCTCCCTGATAAGCAAGACTGGCAAACTAGTAACGACGGACAAGAAGAAGGCTGAGGTACTCAACAACTTTTTTGCCTCAGTCTTCACTGGCAACCTCTCTTCCCACACCTCTCGAGTGGATGCCCTGCAAGACAGGGACTGGGGGAGCAAAGCCCCTCCCACTCTAAGAGAAGATCAGGTTCACGACCACCTGAGGAACCTGAACGTGCATAAGTCTATGAGACCTGGTGAGATGCATCCCAGAGGCCTGAGGGAACTGGCTGATGTCACTGCAAAGCCACTCTCCCTAATATCTGAAAGGTCATGGCAGTCAGGTGAAGTACCTGGTGACTGGAGGAAGGGAAACATCGCACCCATTTTTAAAAAAGGTAGAAACAAGGAACCTGGGAACTACTGACCTGTCAGCTTCACCTCTGTGCCAGGGGAGATCATGGAACAGATCCTCCTAGAAGCAGTGCTAGGGCACATGGAGGACAGGAAGGTGATTTGAGACAGCCAGCATGGCTTCACCAAGGTCAAGTCCTGCCTGATCTACCTAGTGTCCTTCTCTGATGGAGTGACTACATCAGTGGACAAGGGAAGAGCTATGGATGTGATCTATCTGGACTTCTGTAAAGCCTTTGACATGGCACCCCACAACATCCTTCTCTCTAAATTGGGAGAGATATGGATTTGCTGGGTGGACTCCTCTGTGGATGAGGAATTGATTGGATAGTCACATCCAGAGGGTAGTGGTCAATGGCTTGATGTCCAGATGGAGATCAGTGACAAGTGGTGTCCCTCAGGGGTCTATTGTGATTGTATTTAACCTGAAATGACAGGGTGTTTGGTGCACACATTTGGAGGAGAGATCCCTCGTGTGCCCTGTGCGGTAATAAAGAACACCTGCTTAATAGCCCTCTGACTATTGAGTCTTCGATTCTGGCTTTTCACGGCATCAAGATCCTCCTAGAAGCTATGCTAAGGCACATGGAGGACAGGAAGGTGATTCGAGACAGCCGGCATGGCTTCACCAAGGGCAAGTCCTGCCTGACTAACGTAGTGGCATTCTATGATGGTGTGACTGCATCAGTGGGTACAGGATGAGCTACAAATGCCACCTGTCTGGATTTCTGTAAGGCCTTTGTCATGGTCCTCCAGAACATCCTTCTCTCTAAATTGGAGAGATATGGATTTGATGGTGGGGATGAACATAGTGGGATGGTGGGGATGAACATAGTGGGATGGTGGGGATGAACATAGTGGGATGAACTGCACCCTCAGCAAGTTTGCAGATGACACCAAGCTGAGGGGTGCAGTCGACATGCCTGAGGGATGGGATGCCATCCAGAGGGACCTGGACAAGCTAGAGACGTGGGCCTGTGTGAACCTCATGAGGTTCAACAAGGCCAAGTGCAAGGTCCTGCACCTGGGTCGGGGCAACCCCTGCTGTCAATTGAGAACAGTCCGGCCAGGAAGTACTTGGGGGTACTGGTGGATGAAAAGCTGGACATGAGACACCAGTATGTGCTTGCAGCCCAGAAAGCCGACCATAACCTGGGCTGCATCAAAAGCAGCGTGGCCAGCAGGTTGAGGGAGGCGATTCTGCCCCTCTACTCTGCTCTGGTGAGACCCCACCTGGAGTCCTGCATCCAGCTCTGGAGCCCCCAGCACAGGAAAGAGATGGAGCTGTTGGAGCAGTTCCAGAGGAGGGCCACAGAAATGATCCAAGGGCTGGAGCATCTCTCCTGTGAGGACAGGCTGAGAGAGTTGAGGTTGCTCACCCTGGAGAAGAGAAGGCTCCAAGAAGACTTTATTGTGGCCTTTCAGTACTTACGGGGGGCTTAAAAGAAAGCTGGAGAGGGACTTTTTACAAGGGCCTGTAGCAACAGGGCAAGGGCTAATGATTTTAAAATAAAAGAGGGTAAGCACCCTGATTTAGTGGAAGGTGCCCCTGCCTATGGCAGGGGGGTTGGACTAGATGACCTTTAAAGGTGCCTTCAACCCAAACTATTATATGATTTTATAACATGCAAAACCCTTACGTATTGTTTCCTTTTGTTAATAAAGAAGTAAAAATAGAGGTATTCAGTAGTGATTTAATTTGGATGCAGGTTTAGTTAGGAATCCTATGTATATGGCAGTGCTAATGTGAATAGGAAAAATATACAAGTGTGAAGAAAACACAAGAAAACTGCACAATAATTTATGTGAAAGTGTTCTAAGCTGTAATTGGCTGAAATTCTCCTTGTTTGGTAAGGGCTACTAAAAAATCACAACTTCCATTACTGAGGAGGCGGGAGGAAATGGGACAGCAACATGGGGAAAAGGTTTACCTTCTCTTTTGAGATTTCTGATTAGAGCTGGACAAAGAACTGCAGAACATTGATTCTATCTTGCTTGCTTTTGCATGTCGCTTTCCTTCTTCCATGACCGAATCTTGTACTGTCCCGGGGACTGTGTTCTTTTCTTTCTTCGCTATGTTTTTCTGAAGTCTATCCTTTTCTTTTGCTGAAGAAAGACTACTAACTGCTGCTATCTTTTTCTTTCTTTTACCTTTGCCAATGAAGAAATCATCATCGCTGTCACTGTCAGAATCTGATGACTCGTTATAAAACCTCTCTTCAGTACTATCATCAAAGTACTCCTCTTCATTAGGATGTTCCTGGTCACTGTCATCATTAAGTATTTGTTTTATTGCATTTAATTTGTTCATGCTCATATTTTCTTTCCTTTTTTGATAGCCATGTTTCTTTCCTGTTCTATTCTGAGTGACTGCTTGCATTTCTACTGCCTGAAATGAAGATTCTTCTGGAGCAGATACTCTCTCCACTGCCACAGTTTTCTGCTCAGATTGACTCTCACAATCTTCTTCCGCCACCCCGTCAGTTTCTATTTTCCTACTCATTTTTGCTTTGTCTTCACATCCTTGCTGTTTTTGAGCTAGTTTAAGAGCTTGGTCATCCAAATTGCTATTGATATGTTGCACTGATTTAAGCTGTTCTTCTGACGTAGCCTTTTTTGAAGAAGTGGCTTCGGCTGGGTTCTTTCTTGCATCCTGAAAAGCTTTTACAGCAGCTATAGAAGGGGCAGAAGAAAAATCTTTTGTTGCAGCTACACATGAGTTTACATAAGTTATTTTAATATAATAAAACATTTATGCAAGTTAAATATGTTGTAGTGAGTAAGCACATTTTGAATGTCTTTATCAATCATTTCTGAACACATGGGGCAAGAAATACCTTACAGTACAGCATCAACAAAAAGTGAGGAAAAGAACGTGAAACTATTACCAAGTGAATACACTGTTAAAATTGGGTTTAACTGTGAACTTCTCTTTCAGAAAATAATCTGCAGCTGATACCCATGTCAATTTAGGGCATTACTTTGTGTGTAAAAACTGCAAATAGTAAATTGCTTAGATATAAATAAATTGATATCTGACTTGCTCTCTGTTATTAACAAAGTTACTTTATTACTAGGACTTGACCCTTTTTAACATCACTTTTAGTTGGAAAATTTAAATTTAAAGAGAACGGGAGATAACCTAAAGAACCAGGAAAGATTCTCTAAGGATTCTGGGGACAGTTTCCAGGGAGTATTACGTGAGTCACTTGCAAAACCTTTTAGCTGCCTTTGGAAACCTAGTTGCAATGTTGTAACGCTCCTCTTACCTTTGCATCTGCAAGTTACTGTGCCCACTGGCAGTTCACTTCTATTTAATTTAGAGACACTCCATTACATCCATTCGATTTTTAGAGTTCCCATTATGAGCCCTGTTTGTCCTACACCCTATATCTTAAATGACATATAGCATACTGTCACATATAAGCCCATTTCAGCCACTATGACTACAAGCTTGTGACACTTGGTTCACTGCAGCTAGTTGAGGTAGTTACAGGAGCTTTTCATTTTTCACTTTTCTTTTTATACTGGTTGTTCATGTCAGGAATATACAGGAACAACGTAACACACCAGTAAGCTACTGAAGTCACAAACAAGTTAATATAATGTTTCATACCTTTAAGTTCAACAAATTTGGGTTTCAAGATGCGATGTATCGCAAGTCTTGCAATGGCTCGCTCAGTTGCAGTACAATTTGGCTATACAAAATAAATTCAAAGGCATGAAGTCAATAGAATGGTGAGTACTTGTACAGGTCTGTATCAGTTATGCTACAATGCATACTAATGTGATTCTGGACTACAAACAACAAGAGGAAAAGCTTATGACACTATCATATTTGAATGTTTCTTATTTTTTCTGTATTACTGTCATTCTAAATGAGGAAAAATCAGACTGCCCAAACATTAACAGAAACGTAACAGACACGTAAATCTGCTATTTCTCTGGTACTGAATAGGGATAACATGATTTTTATTTTGAAAGCATACCAGACACATTTTTCAAAGTTAACACGCTGAATTTACATTCACTGTTTCTTACACACGCAAAGCAAATCCATGAACCTCCTGAATAAAGAACATCCTACTGGTAGAAGGCATTCTTCATGAAGGAATACAGCAGCTTGCAATAAGTGCAGTACGGATGCCATAAAAGTAGGCAAAATGACATAGCAGGTATTGAAGGAATATACATGAAATTTGGTTGACAGGCAAGGTCTAAGCTGATCTTAAAGACAAACAACCTTGAATTTGATCTGGTAGAATACTGGAGCTCTGTAAGCTGATTCAAAGAACAAATATGATCTTCATGTTTTAATTTGAAGAAAAAGGAGAAAAGTAGGAATTGCTTCCACCTCCAACTTCCTCTTTTATATATTAGAAGTCACAGGTACAACACATTGTAAAAGCCATCTCATTTTCAGGTTCTTGTCATGACTCTGCTTGAATAACAAAATGAGAGGTTTCTTAGACTTGCTCAAAGACAGCTTTGTCTTACTTTTTTTGAAGGGCAGGAAAGGGGGTGCAACAAGCTTGTAAAACACAAATTTAGCAGGAAGATTTTTTAAAGCCTGCAGTGGAATTTGGGAAAGAGGAGAAAAGACACACCTCTATCCCTCCATCCTAGTGGTACTGTAATTGATATATGTCTAAATTATTGCTACCTGCAATCTGAGCTATATGCTACAGGAAGTACTACTGCAGAAGCCACCCAAACCAACAGATGATGAGACTTGTAAAGAACCGGGCAAGTGGCCCGTGACCGAACCTGAGCTGGTGCCCAGCAACTCAACACAACACGCTGCCTCTCCCGTCCTGAGCAACTACTGCAACAGATGGAGCCCAAGTCACAGGTATGTAAATGGCAGGGAATAAGGAGATTGCACTGGCTCTGCCCTGAGAGTGAACCTTCTCCACAGCAGTCAAGATGCTGCTGTGCTTTGGATTTGTGACTAAAACATCTTAAAAATGAGTTGGTAACACCCCAGTGGTTTAGTTATTGCTGAGCAGTGCTTGCACAGCATCAAGGCTTTCTCTGCTTCTCACTCTACCCTCCCAATAAGCAGGCAGGGGGTGGGCAAGAGGTTGGGAAGGAATCCAAAAGGATATTCCATTCCATATCAAGTTGTGCTCCACAATAAGAGCTCAAGGAAAGGAAAAGGAAAGGAAGGATGTTTGTGGTTATGGCATTTGTCTTCCCAAGTAACCATTATGTGAAATGAAGCCCTGCTTTCTGGGATGTGGCTAAACATCTGCCCGCTGATGGGAAGTAGTGAATAAATTCCTTATTCTCCTTTGGTTGCACACATAGCTTTGTTTCACTTATTGAATTGTCTTTATCTCAAGCCACGAGTTTTTCTCACTTTCTCCATCCTGTGGGTGTGGGGTGAGTGAGCAGCTGTTGGGGACTTAGTTGCTGGCTGGGGTCAAACCACGACAAAAACACCACCCAATAATCAGCAACGCATGTTTAAAGTATCTGATTTGCTTGACACAGGAGTGTGCAGTGGGGAATCTTAGTTGCTCACATGTACATCTTCTTCCAGCAGAATTATGCTACTTAGTATAAACAGTTGTTTATTCATTGCATAAAGATAGATGGACACTTCAAACCAACTACTCGTGTAGGAGAATTTCTTTCAGTGCTTTAGTCTGAAGGAAACAGAGCAGAAGAAAAGACTACAGCTACAGCAGAGCCCGTACTTCTAAACACAGAAACATTTAATTGGTTTGCAAAGTGTGAATCTTGTTCCTCAACCAATGCAAAGCAAATACCATTTGTATTTCTTTTGCCAAGGTTCTACAGCTTAGAAAACTCTGCGTATGTCTGCTCACAGTTCACATTTGAAGTGCAGAGCATCTGGGAATTCTAGTACTTTCTCCTTAAGTCTCTGCTATTACAATGTTATTCCTTCAGGTCAAGAAGAAGTGGAAAAATGTTTTCTCTGTAGACTGTCTACAGAACCATGAACACTGGCCAGAGGAGACAGGTCAAAAGATGGGTCCATTTCCAAGGGCCACAGACTGGCTTACTTTCAGGCTAGCCTAGCTCTGAGAACTTGAAATCTGAATTTTGATCCCCATGTGACAGCGCTGCATGCTGCCACCAGATTCCTGGGACAGCAAGCTCACATTTCTGAAGATCAAACACTATTTTCTTTGGAGATTTTTCTAAAGCTGGAAAATCTATTTCTGAACTTAATTAATACACTTTTTCCCTCAGCTACTTCCTGTGGGTTTTGAAAGAATACACCATGAAGTTCAGAAAGTAGCAGCAGCTTCTGTGCAACATCTGGTGTCCTTTAATTCAAATATTTATAGAAAGGGTTTAAGCATGTACATGCCGATCCATATGGAATAACAACATTTTTTCCTTACAGCAAAATATTTCACAAACACTACTCACACTGATAGACAGTAGCCAACAAACATACAATACGACATTAACATTCTTTAAAATTTCCCATTTTGCTGTTTTTTTGGCACATCCAATGCTCAATTTATTTTTCCTCAAGTATTTTCCAGTATATTAAACCTTGGCAGAAAATCAAACTTAATAGAAAAGTGTCAACTGTATTTACAGCAAGAACACCCTCTCCCCCGCCCCTACTATGTTTAATTATGCAGATACTGTAATTGTACACATTTATTCTTGCAGGTTCCTGCTACTTCTTGTATTATTTTGCATTTTTCATTTTTTCACACAAGAATGTCCCAGTACTTTCCACAGGAACACTCTCCCTCATTCAGTGTGCAGCTAGGGTGCCGCAAAGTGAACAAAGAAACTGAGCAGTGTATAGCCACATTTTTCAGCAAGAAGTTGTAAGCTACATACAGAACCACCTGAAAGTCAAAGTCCCCTCACACTTTTTGTCTTGCTAAGTAACAAAACAGTATAGACAGTGTTTCTGTACATAGTATTAAAGACATCTGTCATCACTGATGTATTTCATTAAACTCCATGTGGACATTTAACTCAATTAACTGCACTGATCTCTATATTTTCGAATCTCTTAAAATGAAAAGAAATCCAAGCTGCGTAAACAAGCATTCCTCGTCCTGAATGGCAGATATGCACACAGATGCACAAAGCTCAAACCACAACTTGTAGCATAATAAAGCAGCAGTTGTATAACTTGCACATGTGCAAACACACATGCATGTCCCACATAAGGGAGACAAACTTTGTACAATGTGGAATGACTGGGAAGAGAATGGACATTACGAGCTTGCTAAGATAAAAACAGATTCACAATGCAAGTTTTGAGATGTGCTGGAACAGGGGTCAGAAGAATTATGGAACGGCTCTGAGAGCTGGCAGCAACTGGGTAAAAAAAAATGCCAGGCAAAAGTTGTGTGGGTAGTACTTGCTTCAACAACGCAGGTTATAAAGTGAGAACGAGAAACTGAGTGTCTCAGGGTCTCGGCGCAGATGGGATTGCAGGAGCTGAAAGGGATTCCCTGTTGTCATGCTTGAGACAGTAGAGCTTCAGGAAGAACTAAAGAGCAGAAACCTGGGATTAACTCGGGAACATGACATGGAGACTTCTGACCATTGCTTCATTCTGATTACTCCTCCTTGTTCAAGTCTACTTTTGGTCGTACTCTCTCTGCTACAATTATAATCAATAATTGCAAAAAAAGAGGTCATACTTCTATTCTTCAACTGGCTTTTGTCCAAAAGGCGACTGCCTTGTTACAGGTCTCACCAGAAAGAAGACTGCTACTAGAAGAGTATAGTACTACAAAGACTACTACTAGAATTTCAGCTGGGTCAAAGGACAGTGCCACCAAACTGGTAATGCTTGGTGGCCCTGCATGTGTCAGTGTAGATCATGCCTATTATTTAAAATAATGACATTCAAATGAAGACAGTCAGAAACCCCACTGACAAGTATGCAGTACATAGCAAAAGCCATGACACAAAAAGTAACCTTGAAGCATGTTATACTCAAGTTTCTAAACTAACTGGAAGTGCAGGTTAATGTTGAGTCCAACAACAGCCTCATTTTAAGCAAAAAAATGGCAGAGCTAATGCTAACAAGGGTAAGCATAAAAAAAATAAATCCCCAATTCCAGGCCAAAACAAGACGTCATTGCAATACCCTTTGTGGCAGCTTAGGAGAAGAGCTGTCTCTCTACTAAGAAAAAAACTCAGAAAACCTGTTAAACCACACGTTCTTCCCAGAGCTCTAACTAGTTACAGCTGTCCTTCAGAACAGCAGATGTGGTTAATGTGGAGTCACAGGCTGGCTGAAGGTGCCAGATCATCACTGCTACCCAAGTCTATCCCATGACTTCATACTGCTTTGGAACAAGACCAACAAAAGTTACTTTCTGACTGTGAAATGCTGCTAATTCTCCCTCTTCCTTTATGTCTGGAAGACATATAGGATGTGATTTGTGGCCATCAGACATGGCAAAGATTTTGGTACGAGAGGCAACTGGTTAATGGTATCACTTGTAGCAGTGCTGTTGTCTCTCAGCTCCTGACAGCAAGAGACTGTTAACTGTGTCTCACTTTGATAATGGGAAGATGGATCAACGAGGGGATGAAGTAAACAAGACTCCATTAGACGTGGCAAGAGTTTAAAACAGAGTGGTTCTCCCAAAATACAGAAATAACAGAGAGCAATACCATAGTATTCAAAGGAGAGAAACATCAGCATTAAATGCTTCAGACTGCACTGGAAATGAAT